CCCCCCCCCCTTCGTATATCCTCGCCTCTCCAGGTGCCGGAGGTGGCCTCGCCGAATGTGCTCGCCGTCTCCGACACCGGCAGCTCACTCCCCCAAGCGCCTGAGCCCGTGGCCGAGCCTACTAGTGCAGCAGACGTCTCGGTGGTGCCTGACGGTGGTACCGCCTCGCTGCCCGAGGCGAGCGGGGGCCTCTTGGTGCCCGGCACTACGGAGGCGTCTATCGACGGAGACCTGCCCGTGCCCCGCGGTGGCGTCTCTGTGCCCGAAATCAGCGCGTCGCTGCCCGAGGAGAGCGGTGACGTCGCCGTTCCTGCCCTCGCCGTTCCCGGCACTACGGAGGATCCTACCGGCGTACATGTGCCCGTGCCTTGCGGCAACATCGGCGCGTCGATGCCCGAGGGGAGCGGTGACCTCTCGGTGCCCGGCGCTACGGAGGTGTCTATCGGCGGAGGCGTGCCAGTGCCTAGCGGTGACGCCTCGATGGCGCCCGACATCGGCGTGTCGATGCCCGAGGCGAGCGGTGACCTCACAGTGCCCGGCACTAAGGAGGTGTCTATCGGCGGAGAAGTGCCCGTGCCTAGCAGCGACATCAGCGCGTCGCTGGCTGAGGCGAGTGGGGAGATCTCGGTGCCCGGCACTATGGAAGCCTCCATCGGCGGAGACCTGCCCGTGCCTAGCGGTGGCGTCTCTGTGCCCGACATCAGCGCGTCGCTGCCCGAGGAGAGCGGGGACCTCGCCGTTCCTGCCCTCGTCGTTCCCGGCACTACGGGAGATCCTACCGGCGTAGATGTGCCCGTGCCTAGCGGCGACATGAGCGCGTCGCTGCCCGAGGCGAGCGGGGACCTCGCGGTCCCTGGCACTGCGGAGGCATCCATCGGCACAGACGTGCCTGGCGGTGACGTCTCGGTGGTGCCCGACATCAGCGGGTCGCTTCCCGAGGTGAGCGGGGACCTCTCGGTGCGCGGCACTAAGGAGGCGCCTATCGGTGGAGACCTGCCCGTGCCTAGCAGTGACATCAGCGCGTCGCTGCCCGAGGCGAGTGGCGATCTGTCGGTGCCCGACACACAGGAGGCGTCCATCGGCGGAGACGTGCCCGTGCCTAGCGGCTACCTCTCGGTGCCCGACATGAGCGCTTCGCCGCCCGAGGACAGCGGAGATGTCGTCGTTCCGGATACCAGCGCGTCGATCACGGGCGTTTCTGGAACGACCGCCGCCGAACCCGGTGCGGACCTCGCGGCGGTGTCCGGCGTTAGCTCTTCGGCGTCGCCCATGGTAAGCGGGGACCCCCCCGTCCCGGACCTGACGGACTCGTCGCCACCAGGCATTTCTGGAGACGTGGCTGCGCCTGACGCGGACCTTTCTGTGCCAAAAACGAGCGATGACGAACAACCTTCCGCAGCGGAGATTGTGAACCCTGGTATCTTGGTTGTGGGCGAGGTATCTGAGTTGGCAGACGATGGGGCGCTGTTGGCAGAAGAAATAGCCGCCGCCGCCGCCGCCACCGGTGCTGCTGTTACGGCCGGACTCTCTGAGCACGAGAACGGGGAGAAGCTCGGTCCGACATCGGCTGTGGTAAAGCCGAGCGGAGACCCCGCCTTTGCCGCTGATGGTGTGCCGCCGGTGTTGGCCGTCGTCCCTGCAGAGCCGAGCGCGACTAGCATAGCCATGGGAGACATCCCGACGGTCTTGCGGGGAGAGGCTGAAAGGCCGTCGGTCGCCGTTGAGGAGGAGAAGATGGAAGAGCTAGAGGAATGTGGCTCGGCAGAACAAGAAGGCGGTTCGCCAGAAGTGGTGGCCCGGGCGCCAACGTTTACCGGCACCAGCATCGCCATGGGAGACATCCCGGCGGCCGGGGCGAGACAGGCTGCAGTTGGATCGCCGTCCGCTGCTGTTGCTACTGAGGAGAAGGAGGAGGAGCCAGAGAAAGGCGGTCCTCCGGAAGTGGTGACCCAGGCATCAGTGTCTACCGTCGGCGGCGATGACGGCCCGCCCTCGCATTCTGAAGCAGCAGCAGCAACAGCAGCGATAGTCCATACCGGTGGATCGGCTGCTTCGGCGTCTGCTGGTCAATTGCAAGGCACGAAGGGATCTGCGGCGGGGGAGGGGGCGGCGGACGCTGTCAACCAACCAGTGGAGGAGGTAAGTGCCATGTATTCTGGGCTCCCAGATATTTTAGGAGGCAGCTTACGTGTGTGTTGGTGTGTGTATTTTGTTCATTACTGTAGCATCGACGGCGCTAGCCACTTTAAATGGGCTCTTACGCTTTTGCGACGCTCCTTGTCGTGTACGTCACGGGGGCCACTTCTGTTGGTTTTGCAGCGGCGAGTTTTTTCTCTCTGCGTGTCTACGCACACCTGTGTTGGCCGAGTCCACCGCACGTTCTCGAGGGTGTCGCATGCGCAGATTGAATCTGTCCAGCTCTGTGATGATGAACAACTTGGCCAATCCTTGGCCGTTCCAAGGAGCACACATGCACGTTTGCCCCCCCCCAGTCTCCCTCCCCCCGGTGTTTGCCGTCGGGGTTGGGTTTTCGTCGCTTGGCAACGACGTTGTAAAACAACCCAAGTCACTTCGTGAACTTGGCAACTAGGTTACCGTTTTTTCTTGTTTTACCTCTGTTTTTTTTTTGGCGGTAACCATAATGGTGGTCGAGTAGATCATGTTGTGCGGGGTGGAGAACCCTCACTCCGCGCAAGGGGGATGATCGCACCACGTTGTGTTAAAATGGTCAAGCACCCTCGAGGCAGTTACACAGTGCTTACAACTGTCTCTGGAAGTGAAAGCACCAGAAAATAAATTAAGTCATACGCAGCTGTCATCCGTACGCAAGGGAGTAAGCACAAGATGCGGACAACCCTTAGCAGGATGCAGCGCACCCTTCATGCGACTCGCCGAATATCTCACGGCGCTTCGCGCTTGGTGATGTGAGAGCCTGGTCCGGTGAGAACCCGGCGTGCTCCGTCCCGGCTTTGTAGGGATGCGAGGTCAATGGTCTAACGACTACGGCATGCACGACTATGAGTACCCCCCCCGCCCCCGCCCCCCCAGTCGCACGCGGCGGCGCCCGGCTTCTACCCCCGTGAATATCTCGCGCTGCGCTCTGCACCGAACTAACGTTGTGGTTGTTTCGTCTCCTACGCGCCTATGGCAGCTGACACCGCACGATACAACTGGAGGGAAAAAAAAGAAATGTGCGAAACCCCCCCACGTGCCTGGTGGGTAACAAAAAACAACCGGACGGTGTAATAGCTGATGTCCAGAACACTTGTGATGTCAAACAACAACAACAACAACAACAACAACAACAACAACAACAACAACAACCCACGTCTAACATCGCAAGCGCATCTCGTTACCCCTCCGTGACCACACATCACTGGTCCGCCTGTTCCTTAAGGACAGCCCACGGTGTTGCCCCTTGTGGACGGCCTTCCGGAGGACGGGGCCGAAGAAGAAGAAGCCGCAGGCGTGACCACTGCCGACGGCACCCCCGGTTCAGCAGCAGTCGATAAAGTAGCAGTAGGCGGCACGGCAGACAACATCGCGGACAACATGGCGGCGGCGGACCAAGCAATGGTTACGGGGGGCGGAGCGGTCACGGTTGGTGCCCTCGTAGACGAGGAGGTTTCTATGGCGGCGGGGAAGGCCGGGCTGGAAGGGGACGACGACAGCCTCGCCTCGTGGCGGGGGGCGGTGGCGGATGGTAGCAACGATGGGGTTTCCCGTCCGGCCTTGAGCGACGACGACCCACGCTCGACGGCGGCGGCAGCGGCGGTGGTTGTTCCCGAGGTTCCCGAAAATGCGTTGCCGCCTCCGGCCGCTTGTGTGGAAGACGAGGTTGCCCCGGTTAAGACGATCGTGACGGCAGTGTCTGGTGGCAGCAGCAGCAACAGCAGCAGCAGTGCCGATGGCATGCCTCTGCCCGCTGCGTCCTTGGACGGCGAAGGAGCCACAGCCCCAGAGGCTTTGTCCGGCAGCAGGAGCGGCAGCACCGACGAGTTGCTGATGCCGGCTGCCTCCCTGGACGAAGAAGGAGCGGGGAGGGGCGTGACCAACCCTATCCTTAACGATGGCGATTCCGCGGTGCCGCCCGGGGCTGCGGACAAGGAGCAGCATGCCCTCGCGGTGGAGGAGCAGTCGGCCGTGGCGGCGGGCCTCGAAGTGACGCACAGCTCGCCAGTGGATGATTCTTCCGCTCATAACGCCGCCGCCTCCGCCGCCGTCGAAGTGACGAGGACTGCCCGCACTACCGTCGACGAAGAGGGAGGGGACTTGACGCCTGAGATAAGCATCGAGAAGAACGGCGGTGACGGGGCCGAAGAATCAGCGGCAGCGGCGCCGGCGGCGGTGGGCCCGGCGCGGTTGGGCTACAGCGCCGGAGAGGCCTATGTAGAGCTGAACAAATCGAGCTCGCCGATTGCGTCGCCACCCCACGGGATAGACGGTGCGGACGAGAGGGGAGACGACATGGCGACAGGGGCCGGGGCGCAGGAGGGGACCCAGGAGAGCGGGCAGGGACCAGCCAATAGGGATTCCGTGAGCCCTGGGTTGCCGACCGGCTACGCGACCGGCGGCTACCCCACCGAAGAGAGCATGCCGTCACCTTCAGCCAACCAAGTCCCGTCAACCTCGCAGGTCCGGGCAGACGTTGGCGGGGGGATCGATGGACGGGCTCCGGCGGTAACCCCCCCCTCTGCCGGTGGAACGGTCCGAGAACCCGTCCGCCGCAGCGGGACGGCGGCGCCTCCCAATTCCGCTCGAGGAGTCGCCTCTGGTGCCGGTGAGAAAGACTGGTTGGATGAGCTCATCGACATGTTCTCCGACAAGTGTTCGACATGTGTCGTCGATGACGCCTTGTGAAATTGTTTCTTTCATTTGCGTCCTGCTGTGTACTGCTGCATCGCGAGCTTCCCAGCCGTCGGATTTCGCGCTTGATTTTTTGTCTTGAAAAAAAAAATCGTAGTTTAGCCCCGGCTGCAGAAAAAATATGAACATGCCGAGGGCCAGAAAGTTCGGAAGGGTTGGAATAGTGTGTAGCCTGGTCAGCTAGGGATGGGGGCGGGGAGGCGGGGGGGGGGCGCAACTAAGACAACAAAAAAATACGATGATCTTCTATTTTTTGTAATACATTCATCAGGTATATTTTCTTGGAGGGGCGTCCTCTCTTTTGACCTGCTTGTGTGATTGATAGCATTCGTCATATGGCATGACGTGTTTTATAAACTCTAGGAAGGAGAGTGGCACATGTATTCGCGGTGTTCGCACAACGACCGGTGGTTGGAGGATTGGGGGCGAGGAGACAGATCTGTCCCCACGGACCTATCGTGTCGTCAGCAGCGTTTTGCTGCACCTGATACTTGACCTTGATGGCGCCAAGCGATTGTCATCTTGTATCATCCGTCGTGCCGCTCGCGCACAGAATGTCGGCAGCTGCGGTGGCGGATTAGTTTTTGTACAGCGCAAGGTAGAACCGGTGATAAAAGAACTGCGAAGTAGTAAAGGTTTTCGGTTTTTTTTTTCCCAAAGGATTGTTGTCGCTGTCGCACACCGCGCGATTGAGAGCATTTCGCGGCGCCCCCTCAGTGGGGAAGACAAGCAGAGTCCGACAAGACTTGGAGGCAGGCGTAAATTAACACGGGGTAGCGTGCAAAATCCTTTTTTGTTTTATCCCTTTCAACTTTTATTACGTGACAATTTTTTCTAGCAGAGTAAATAGGTGTGTTTGGTGCGAAAAAACAAATTAATTTTTCGTGTGTGCTTTCTTAGAAGTATCTGCTACATGCGCGCGGTCTGTCGGGGGTTCGCGCTGATTGGACATATATTCAGACAGAGAAGCTTCGTCAAGCGGCAGGCTCATCGATGCGTGCTCGATCTACGGTGTCGGTCAAGGCGGCGCCGTAGCGCCTGCAGGACTTTGTGCTGTGCCGTACCCATTGAGAGCGTGGTCTCGCTTGATCTGAACCATGTTTGTTGACGAGATCACAATAGAGAATACTGGCTCCCGACTCACCGCGAGTTCGTGCTTCAGTTTGTTGAGTACAGCGTATGGTGCTTCCAGATTCTCCGACGCCGATTGTCACTTGGCACGACAAAAACAACACATACATCGTGATATGGTACAGCGCTGTTTCGTGTAATATTGCGAGTGTTGGGTTTTCGCCAATGAGTTACTTCTGCGTCGTTAGGATTGATTCTCCCATTGCACCAGAGATGCTGCTAACATCAGTGCTGATTTTTGTATAAGTGTAAGCTAGAATCAATTGTGGCTCCCATAGCGAGCGGATGGTCGGTAATTTGCAACTCCTCAAAAAAAAAGCACGCTCGTTGAATACTGGAAGTGGACACACCACACATTTAATTCCCTTCGCGTGCATCGATCCATGGGGCAACAACTACGTTTTCTTTTTTTTTTATTGGGTCAAGGCGCCGACAAGAAACCCTGTGGAGCAACGTCGCAATGTGTTTTGTCGTTGGATATCCAGTTTTTCTTCTTTCACAACAGGGTCGACGTGTAGCATCCAAGCTTATTCCGCCTGTTCGGACCCATTTCGACTTACGACGTTCTAATCAGAAATCATGGCGTAATTTTATTTTATTTTGTTCGCCAGCACATGGCAAATCTGATGTCCCTCATAACCGTCCGGTGTGAGGACGGCAATGATTTTGAGGGGTTTTGTGTACGACAGTAGCACCACTAGCGGTAGCATGCACAGCAACATGATGCCCAACCTGGTTGGTTCTGCGGGGTCTGCGGGGGGGGTGTACGCATAGCTCCACCCGCTCCTCGTTGGCGAGAAAAAGAGTCGTTATACCCATGCACGGCAGCAACGTGTCCGGGTTGCGATACCACCCGTTCAAAGGGGTCTATCGCTGCTGCGGATACATCCATCCACGACAAAGCAAAATTCCCCGTCTCGTACATTGCGGGGCTTGCCTTCCGCCGCCGATATAGTACGTACCCTTCTGAAGTTTTTTTTCTGCGGCGGTTGTTGACTGGTGAACCGCATTCCTTGAGGCGTGCCGGGTTGCCTCGCTACGTCGCTTCCAATGTACAACAGCTCCCATCAACGACTCTCACCCAACTCCGGAAAAAAAAACACACACACAGAATCCAACCCTCATGAAACGCCTTCTTTGATACGTCTAAACGTCAGGTTGATCCTCCCTCCCCTTGCACCTGCCGACGACGTCAGTAACGATGAACCCCCCGGACCACCCGCGATGCTTCCATTTCCCCCGGATTCGCCCGTGTTCAACGACGACAGCACCTTGCCGCCTTGCCCCGACCATGACAGCAGCAGTGGCGACAAGGCTTTCGCCTTTCTTCTCTCTTGTGGTGATTGCAGGATCTCGCGCTCCTCCTTTGCGGTGCGCTTCGGCACGCGGTGCTGCCAGTGCTCTTGGGTGCTGCCTTCCATGAGCAGCAGCGACCCTCCTCCCAGGACAAACTCCATCTGCAAACGGATAATTTGATGTCGTCGTCGTTGTGGCTGTTGATGCCGTCTCGTCAAAAACATAACGGCCTGGTTCTCTTCCCAGATGCTCTGCTTCCCTGTCCTTGGTATCCTGGGGTTAAAAACCTTTTTATCCCTGCGCGCTTTTGGCAACAAGCTGTGCGCCTCAAGCACCCTAAAAGTACCACACTCTTCACGGCGAAGACCGGTTTCCAGAAGACATCAACCAAACAGAGGCCCAGGCGTTGATGGACGTCGACCATCGAGCTACCGTCGATGCGTCTAAGGTTGGGAGGCATGCGAGACATGCGCCGATGAGGCATGTTCGTAGGCAAGAGGAGGTGCGGGGGAGAGTGGCGAGGGAAAGAGTAACGGCGCGGAGTGCACTCGCTCTCTGCATGGCCTACGTGTTCAACAACAAGCCACCCACCTTTTGGGTGCGGTCCTTTCTTCCCCGCAGCTCAAACCGTCGTCCCGCTCCGAGCGAAACGGACGCTATCGCTGCTCCCTTCTCGAGCTCTTTTTCATCATCTTGCCGACGCCACGTACATGCAGTGTCATCATTGGGGGTGCAGAATGGAATCAAAAAGGGTACCACAGCAAAAACGGATTGGCTGACCGAAGGCTCATGTCTATGTGCAGCGTTCTTGGGGCCAGGTGCCGGCCCAGGTGAATTTATTCTTTTGCCGCACAGACGTGTGCAATCTCGGTTTCGCGACGCAACTCGAAAAAGAAAGAGCGCTGTCCTCAACCTGGAAGGGTCGGCTGACTAATCGTACAATATGTCGATTGGGTGGGAAAAAAATTAACAACGACCTGGTAGTACTGTCTTTTGCTACCTGGCGCACAGACCTTATTCCCGGCAGAAAATTCTGTGAGCGCTGATTTATCTAAAGTGATTGAAAAAAAACAAAATGTGAGTGCCGCCGCCCGGCCCCACTAGTCACGTCTCTCACCGGAGTGCCACCCCATGTAGTCGGCTCCGTCCCGGTACCAGTTGAGGAGGACGCAATTGAAGTAGCCGGGGTCAACCCCGGCCGCGGCTTCCGCGGCGGCTAGAATCTCCTGGATGGCCGGCACGCCGTCCCAAGGGGTGGCTTCGAGAGTTTTCCCGCTGTACCTGAACAACAACAGAAAAACGGGTCGAAGAAAAAAGTGGTACAACGAAGTACTTAGTATGTCGTCAAGGACGACATCTTCGACGAAAACAAGGCTGAGAGGGGGCGAGGCGGCGGCGTTCCCCGGACTACGAGGGCCGGGAAAAGAAGAGGACAAAAAAGTGCATACCCACTGCTCTGGGCAGGCCTTTTCCTTGTGATAACATCAGCTGGCTAGCCCCGCAGGAAGTACAGGAACACCCACAGGCTAGCACTACCGGCGGTGACACAAAACATATCACACCTCCTAGGCCGATTTTCCGAGCCAGATTTCTTCCATAACAGAAAGAGCGGCAGCGCCGAGAATATGGCGTTGAAGTAGTCTCATCGAGAGAGAGCTTTCCGAAAACGAAAAATGGCTTTATCTGTTCGTGTGTACTGTATGCATCTGTAGGAAGGATCTGAGGAAGGTTCTGTGTTCCGTAGATGAAGACAACTATTAAACTGTGGTACCTGTTGTGGTAGACTTGGATGAGTCTGCGGTGCCCCCATGCTGCGTCAGCCTGTGTGGGCCACTCTCTTTCTCCTCTGTCTGTCGTGCGGATCTAGTACAACCAACGAGACTTTCTAGTCACTGGACACAAACACGGGCATACCCAGCAAACACTGCGGCCCTAGTAGTGAATAACATTCTAGAGTTTTCTTGCTCCATCGTCCCTGCAAGGAAACGAAAGAGCCCGTGCCAGCAACATGTCAGGTGGAGTCTCGCAGCAGAAGCTCGCCGCTAAACTCGGAGGTGTTAGGCGGGTGTCGACAGAATGCTTTGAGGATAAGCAGACCAGGGCCAAGGCGAGGATGGAGCAGGCACTCGTAGCTTCGAGGGGCTTTTGCTCCAGTAGCCCACGCGAGACGGACGAGGAGGGTCACACGGCGCCGTGGTGGACGGGGGCGCCGTGGGGGGTGCGGTTGGAATGCAGCAGGGAACCGGGAGGAGTTCCACCGCAGGGAACCTACCCGAGACTGTGGGCCCTGGCGTTCGGGACAGCGGCGGTGTCAGCAGTGGCGTAGCGGGCGGCACAACACACGAGCCCGTTGATCGCGGAAAAAATTATTCGTTCCGAGAGAGCTGGAGTACTGCATTCATGACGATTCTGGTGAATGTCAACTTGCCGCAGAGGAGGAAAACCGCGCAACACTAATGTGCTTTTGAAAGAGGGCTAGAGGGCTAACAAAAGCGCGGCGTTGCCGCGGACACTTCATTTCTGGTTGATTCGTGAGTGATTTCCTGAGTGATCTTGCCTGTGACGAATGACACTGACAGATAATGAAGGGGATTCGCAGTTAAGCGTTTCTATTTCTGATTTGGTGTACGTAGAGCGTCTGTAGTTTCGCTTACGATGATACAGCCAATGATGTTTTCGAAAGGGGATTCGCGGTTCGGGCGTTTCCATTCTTCAGTTTGAGTGTTTTGATGAGCAACAACTGTAGTTCGTCTCCCTTCGATTATATCCGAGCGTTTATGGCGGTCTTATTCTCAGAGGATAAGCTAGATGAGCATGAGGTCTTGTAAGGTAGGGAACCCACCATACCCAGCCCCAACACTCCACGCCCCCAGATGTAGGGGGGGCGACGTGAGTTCTTGAAATTGTGCTTTCCAAATGTAGGGGAAGGTACTGACACTGACACGCACCCCCAGTCGAAGGGGGGGGGGAGGGGGGCTGTACTCATAGTCGTGCATGCCGTAGTCGTTAGACCATTGACCTCGCATCCCTACAAAGCCGGGACGGAGCACGCCGG